AAATAAACGATATACAAAAAAATGTTTCAGACTGTGACAAAATATAGTTGCACACTTTTATGCAAATTCACTCAAACACTTACCTGCAAATTATTCAGCGACTTGTACCGGATGTTAAACAGGGGCGACCCGCTCTTCGACACAGGACTAGGGGGCGTCTCCTTCATGGGAGACGCGCTTTTCTGCCTCAGCAATCTGCTCCGCTGCGATTGCCCATTCTTCACGTACAGCTTGGGCAGTCCAGGCGGCGTCTTCTGATGCACCTGATGCGTCTTCGGCGGCACCTCCTTGTCCCGGATGGTCGACGAGGCGCTCTTCCGGTTCCGCTTCTCCGCCTGCAGCTTCTTGGTGGGGATCGTCTCGATGGGCGGCGGCTCCGGCTTGCCGAGATCGGAGACGGGATGCGAGGGCGTCGAGCTGTGCGACGTCAGCGAGGGCGACGGATCGGAAAAGGGCGACCGGATGCTTTTCGGCAGTGGGGCGAAGCCCCGCACGTAATCGTAGATCTGGTCGATTTCGTCGTAGTCTTTGCTGTAGACCGGCACGCGATTCTCGTCTTTGCGATGGTGCGAGTGCTTGGTGCGATGATTGGCCGAGTCGGAGGAGGCGCTGCGGCGCAGCACGAAGCCGTTCTTCAGCTGCTCGGGCGGCTGTGTGGGCGACTGCTTCTTCGAGTCGCCCAATTTGCCGTCGAGAACCTGAAACAATCAAAGACAGTCGAGTGTTTATTATCTTCTTCTTCTTCTTCTTCTATCTAGCGAGGGCTGGCAAGAAAAACAAGACGAAGACTCTTGAAATGAGTAAATCAGACCTATTTGTCTCTCCTGCCAACCACATAAGTTAGTCTAGGGGGCGATGCGACAATTAGTTTTTATTTTACGTTGTATTTGTTTCTAGTAACTAAGGCAATTGAAAAAGCAAACAATTCGTGGCTAGAAATAACGTTCTGAGCAATATACATATTAATTTTATATATACATATACTTAGGTCAGTGTTGGGAGTGCCAATCTCAGATAGGGACGCGCACGAAGAAGAAAATAATACGAAAATACAGTCCACTTAATCATTCATCGACATTTGGTCCTTCGAGCCGGATATCCAGCAATATGGTGTTTGGAT